GTTTAGCGTTAGCCATTAGCTTCTCCAGCCGATCACACAGTCACGTGGTTTTTGCGCACTCCAGCTGTTCTATAGAACCTCCTTGGTTGAAACTCTGTTTCAGTGTGTTCCTGAAGACTGGCACAGACATCAGCTGCTGGTTGACATGAAAGCCTAATATCATGTTCTTYTTCTCCAACATAACCTGAACATACAGTATATTTCTTTATTTTTTTCCTCAGCCTGTGTACAATAAGTTACTTCCTCTGTACTTCCCTCGCTCTGACGAAGAAGAGAAGTTCTGCCTTCCTCTCATCCCAGCTGACATTGGCAACTCTGAGGGGGAACCCGTCGTCCCAGAAAGACAGATCCGCATCACTGAGAAACCAGGCAGCCTGGAAGGTACTCGCTTTTTTCTTTCCAGGCGTCTACAATGTGCTTTATTTTCATGTCAGTGTTAGTTTTACAAGACAAGATTAGATTATTTTTCATGGGCTTGAAATTAAATTTGGATGCCTCCTCTTGACCAGACCGATTTTCTTTTTGGCTTTGAAAATTAGAAAAATATGGAAAAACATCTTTTTTAAAAGGTCTTTTTACTTTTATCTTCTTACTGATGTGAAGAAATGTTCGGTTTTGCTCCCTTCTTGTCTAGCTGTTGTAGATCAYTTATTTTATTGCAAGTTTAGGAGTTTTTGAATTATGAAAGACATTTAGCTACCCAACAAAATACAGAGCACTTAACTGTTAGTTGATCAGAATGATAAAGTAAGTGTGCAGAAGGTAAGCTAGTTGGTGACTRATTCAGTCAATTAATTAGTTTTCCACATAACCACCAGTCAGCCTGGCTTTTTATTGGCTGTTACATTACTTAAAAATATTTCATCATTTACACATCCAYTATCTCACAAATGTAGTGAAACATTTAAATTGGTCAATTGTTGCCTCAYTGTAGGACGGTCAAGTGTTATTGTGCCCAAAACTTACCATCAACAATAAAAGAGAAAGTCACAAAATATTGAATATTTTCTGCCACTGTTTCCTAAAATGTTGAGTTCACTTTTCCTCCYCTGGCCACATCCTGTAAATTCAGTCTGTTTGGTCTATCTCTGTTCGAATTCTGTCGTGAGCCAAAATGCACAGAAACTCGTGCACCTCCCCATGGTACCACAGTGTTGCAGTGCATGTATTTATTATTATTATTATTATTTGTGATGCTCACCCATGTGCAACGAATGGCCTGCCTAACCATCATAGGTTCTATAAGAACAACACCCACGGCAGCCATGGAAGTCCTGCTGGACCTGGCTCCACTAGATTTACATATCTTAGGGGAGGCCGCATCCAGTGCAGTAAGGCTATGCCAGTCTGGTAGGTGGAAAAGCCTATCTGACTCACAGCACACTAGAATCTGGGACTGGGCAGTTGCTGCTGTTCCAGTAACTGCAGGACCTGGAGACAGAATGGTCAAAAAATATATAATTTTGAGCCAAGTTTTAAGACAGAGATAGAAGACAGGTCTGTCTGGATTAACCTCTACGACGGACATGTCTACCAATCATTTCTACTGTTTTACAGATGGATCCCTTCTGAAGGGGTCAGTAGGTGCAGGGGTGCTTATTTTGGACAACCATAGTAAGAGAGAGAGCATAAATACCCACTAGATTGTTTTGCAACTGTATCTCAAGCTGAGATATATGCAYTCCACCAGTGTGTGGCATCTCTCAAAGACCTTCAGTGTACACAGAAGGAAATATTAATCCTAACAGATAGCCAAGCTGCTATTAGAGCTCTCCGAGGGCCAGACTTTATGTGATTATTGGCTTGGGAGTGTGCCGAAGCAGTCAACCAACTGGGGAGAGAAAAGAGCGTTACTGTTAAATGGGTACCAGGACATACTGGCATTTATCGTAACGAGAGAGCTGACTACCTCGCAAAAGCTGGCAGTCAGGCTCACTTCAAAGGACCAGAGCCTGTTGTAGGTACCTCAACAACAGTCTGTAGGACTGCCCTACAGGCCTGGATTTAGACGTCAACACTCAATCCGCTGGAGGGAGCTGATGGACTGTACACAGGCACGGGAACTGATTAACGGCCCAAATCTAAGGTTTGGAGAAGCTCTCATCCCTGTCAAAGAAAACTCTTAAGTAAACTGGTTGGAGTCCTAACTGGGCACAATCTGCTCAACCGCCACAAAATAGTGATGGACTCCATGACAATGGTCTGTGTGATGCCTGTCACACAGGCATCACACTAAATGAGGTCTCTAAATGAATTAGAGACCTCTTTGCACTACTTAGGCCACTGCCTGGCTCTGAGTGGTCAAAGG